CATTTAAAGGAAGAATTAATATTCAAGGAAAAGAAGTTAAGAAAATAACTCACAACTTTAATAATCAACAAGCTTCAAGAGCAATACCAAGAAATGGAAGTTTAGCTCCTCATTTGGAGACTAAACATGCTAAAAGAGATATAAGGAAATGCTATTCTAAACTGAGCTTAAGAGTATAAAGGAATTGGTGTCTTTAAAGTGAAGGAAAGGAGGTGTATTTATAGGCTTTTTGAAGTGCAGGCCGAGTACTCGATCGAGTATGTACATATACTCGATCGAGTATGTGTAGAAACCTGAATTTGGTCAATACTCGATCAATACTCGAGTAGATTTTATATGTATACCCGATCGAGTATGTCAGTGTACTCGATCGGGTATGATAATAGAACGTGGCCAAATCTTTCCTTGCATGTTCATTTGTTCCCGGATCGGATCCTTGAAAATCAGTATTGGTACTCGATCGAGTATAAGGTATACTCGACCGAGTATACCCCAAAATCAGGAGTTTTTCCTTCTTTTTGTCTTCTACTCTTGCACCTTCCTTCACCTTTGATCATTTGATTGATCTTGGACCTGTTTAAGCTCAGAATAAACCTAATCTAAACAAATTACAAGAATTTAACAAACTAAACTATTACACCGAAAGTGTGTAATTTCCGAAATATTAAACAACCAAAACTAACTAAAAACGTAAATAAACACACGGAAATTACAAACGTATCATCTACCCATTCATTGCATTGAAGCATTTTCCTTTTTCAAGATACTTAGTAATAAATTCATAATATTTCTCATAAACACTAGTGCATCTCGAAATATAAATGTAGTCAATAAGTCATTAATTTAAAATGAGAAATAAGTCAAACAACTACAATCTTGAAATTAAAAGTGCAAGTACCCAATACGGAGTATGAGTTAATGACTTAATTCGGATATAGCCATATAGGCCCATTATTTGATTACCAAGTAAAATGTAGTTTTAGATTTTCATTTTTTTAGAATTTTATTAAGTAAATTTTGGGATTTTTTTTTAAAAAGTTGATACGGGTATCCGTCAGGATACGAGTATCGGAAACTTTCAAAAAATTACAAAAAAAAAATGGAAACTTTTAAAAATTGCAGATACGGCCCGGGAACGTACGGTACGGGTATCCTAGAGTATCGGATACGGGAACGTATCGGATACGTCGATACGCTACCCTAGGGAAGTATCCGTGCTTCATAGGATTTAGTGAGAATGAGTAGATTGTTACTATAGCGGCATGTGTCATATCCTCTTCCTAGCCATTGGCGTGCTCTTTTTCAGGCTAGAATAGTTCGGAAATGAATAGCAAGTGGCCTGGCCTGGCACTGTTTGGAATCGGCGCGACCCAGTGGCATGGCCAGAGACCGGGCAGGGTAGGCCCGACATGGGGGTTAATGGGTTATACGGGTCGGGCTCGGGTCACCCAAAATAGGAACCGGGCCGGTCGGTCTAGGTCTGGTCCGGGCGTTTTTTTTTTCAGTTTTTTTTTTTCCCGGGTTGGGCTGGGTGTTTCGGGGGGTGAGGGGGTCGGGGGTTAATTATAAATGCAAAAAAAGGGAAGAAGCTCAAGGACCGGCCCGGCCCGGACCAAGTGGAAACCTAGGCCAGTTCCGGGCCCGAAGCCAACCCCAAAAGGCTGTCATGGACTGGCCCGAGACCGGTCCATGACTGCGAATATGTAGCTCATGCTTTTATTGAACTATATGTGGTGTCGACCTGAGTGTACTGATATTGTGTTGTTTGTTACTGTATTCAGTATTGTGGGTCTTGTGGCAATTCAAACATTTCTTTTATTTTGGATCCACAGTTAGGACAACACGTTGCTCACTTGGGCATTGATTTTTCTTCCTTACAAAAGCTCGGTACTCTCCCAATTCAAGAAACTTGTACTACGTATATGTTATCCAGCAGTGGACACCAAAAGTGTGAGAATAATGGAAAGGCGTACCCAATAGGTAGCCCTAGGTGCCATATATATAATAAATAATGTTCTGAATACAATAGGAAACTTAATGTTTAAGGAAACCTAATTAAAGTATTAATTGCTCTATTACACCCCCTCAATCTGTGCAGGAGAAACAACGCGCAGATTGTCTCTAAGAAAAATAAAACGCTGAGGTGACAAACATTTGGTAAATATGTCTGCAAGCTGAAACTGAGTAGGAACATGTTGAACTACCAAATCTCCATGTGAAACTCTCTCTCGAACAAAGTGATAATCAATACTGATGTGCTTGCTTCGAGCATGCTGAATAGGATTTGCAGACAGATATGAGGCCGAAATATTGTCACACAGGAGCTTAACTGGCCGAGGAAGCGGAACCCCTAATTCAAACAAAATGGAGCGAATATGAAGAGTGTCCTGAACAGTATATGCAATAGCCCGATACTCAGCTTCTGTGGAAGAACGGGACACAGTAGGCTGCTTCTTTGACTTCCAGGAAACCAAGTTAGGGCCGAAAAATATAGCAAAACCGGAGGTGGATCTACTACTATCAGGACACCCGGCCCAGTCAGCATCAGAATATGCCTGTAAAATAGGAGAAGTATGGCTCGGCTGTAGAAGCAAACCGTGAGCTGAAGTGCCCTGGAGGTACCTGAAAATGCGCTTCACAGCCAAAAAATGTGAAGTACGAGGGGCATGCATAAATTGGGAAACCAGGTGAACAGCAAATGTAATATCAGGTCGAGTCATAGTTAAATACTGCAAGGCACCTACCATACTTCTATACTCAGTAGGATCCGCAAGAAGATCACCATCAGTGAGAGATAACTTTGTTCGTGTAGGAAGTGGAGTACGAACAGGTTTAAGAGTATGAAGATGAAACCTGGTTAATAAATCAGAGACATATTTTTGTTGTGATAAAAACAGACCAGAGGGTAAACGAACAGCTTGGACACCTAGGAAAAAATGTAAATCCCCCAAATCCTTCATAGCAAAACAACGACCAAGACAAGAAATAAATGTGGAAATAAAGGTAGGGGAATTACCGGTAATAATAATGTCATCCACATACAGAAGGAGATAAATAATGTTCGACCCATGTCGGTAAATAAATAAGGAATTATCTGATTTGCTACAAACAAAACCATGAGTCAACAAAAAACTGCTAAACCTGTAAAACCAGGCTCGCGGAGCCTGTTTAAGACCATAAATAGCTTTCTTTAGATGACACACATGGGTAGGAAACTGTGGATGAACAAAACCAGGGGGTTGACGCATGTAGACCTCTTCAGTCAAATTACCATGAAGAAAAGCATTTTTAACATCTAACTGACGAATAGTCCATTTGAAAGACACAGCAAGAGATAACACAATACGAACAGTGGTGGGTTTAACAACAGGACTAAAGGTCTCAGAAAAATCCACACCAGCCTGTTGAGTAAATCCTTGAGCTACCAGACGTGCTTTATGACGCTCAACAGACCCATCTGAATTGAATTTGGTCTTATAAATCCATTTAGACCCGACCACATTTTTACGAGGATTAAATGGAACTAATTCCCAAGTATGATTATCAATTAGTGCATTAAATTCCTCAGCCATAGCAGCCCTCCATTTAGCATCTTTATTAGCTATAGAAAAACAAGATGGATCACATGCCGAAATATCTGTTTTGAGATTAAAAATAGATTTTGGTTTAAAAATACCCGATTTAGCACGTGTTTGCATAGGATGACAATTTATCGGGAAAAGTGCATGTGGTGAAGGGGGTTCGGTTGGGCTGAAGCTGCTGGTAGGAGAAGAAGTAGTGGCGGATATAGTACTGGAGCTTTCGGATGGGGCTGTTGGTGTAGCAGGAGGAGATGGAGTGGTTTCGGCTGGGGAAGATGGGTTAGAAGAAGCAGAGGGCTGATGATTGTGAAGTGGTGGTGGTGAGGCCGAGCGTGTTCGGCTGGGTATGAGGCGGCCAGGAGAGGCAGAGCTGCGACGGAAGTATGGTGAGGTGGGGGAGATGGCAGCAGCAGGTAGAAAAGTGCCGGTAGGTGAATGAAGACTGGCAGAAGTAACTGAGGACACTAGAGGCAGTTCGCTATTTTTGGCAGAGGAAACCAAGTCTGAATATGGAAAATAATTTTCATAAAATCGGACATTCCTATTGATGTAAATCTTGCCAGTTAGAGGATCAAAACAACGATACCCTTTATATTCCGGAGCATATCCCAAGAAAACACATAAAACAGATCGTGGAGAAAGTTTATTGGCAGAAGTGGCATTAAAATTAGGAAAACAGGCGGAACCAAATACGCGCATAAAAGAGAGGTCAGGAGAATGATGAAATAATTTTTCAAACGGGGAAGCACCATTTAGATTGGGAGTAGGGAGACGATTAATAATATAGGTAGCAGTGAAAACAGCATCTACCCAGAATTTAGCCGGCATTTTTGCTTCTAAGAGCATAGTGCGGGTTAATTCAAGTAGATGTTTATGTTTTCTCTCAGCAACACCATTTTGCTGAGGGGTATCTGGACAAGATTTTCGGAATAAAATGCCATTTTGGAGAAAAATATCACGCATACCATAGTTATCAAATTCACCCCCTCCATCACTTTGAAAAATTTTAATTTTGGAGTTTAGTAAATTTTCCACCATGGTTTTGAAATTTTTAAAATGACTCACAACCTCACTTTTATTGCGCATAGGATATAGCCAAGTAAATCGGGAAAAATCATCAATAAACAAAACATAATATTTAAAGCCACTTTCAGAGAGAACAGGAGACTGCCAAACATCAGAATGAATTAAATATAACGGAGCATTGGAGTTATGCCAAACTTCATGAAAAGGTAAACGTTGAGATTTTCCTAACCGACAAGAAATACAATCATGAGAAAAACTAGAAGTAGTAAGAATGGTCCCAGACTTCTTAAGCCTCTCTAAAATGCGACTACCACAGTGCCCCAAGCGACGATGCCAGACCGGTCCGGAAGCAACATGAGAGATGAAAGCAACTGGTGAAGGACGAGATAGGGAGATAGGGTAAACACCACCACTACTGGAAGCCTGAAGAAGAACCTTCCCCGAAATTGTGTCCTTAATACAAACAGAATTTTTATCAAAAATCACAAAACAGTTATTATCGGCACATAATCGTTGAATTGAGAGTAAATTATATTTTAAATGAGGAACATGATAAACAGATTTTAAATGGAGAGACTGAGGTGAGGTAGATAAACGCAGGTCACCAACAGTCATAACAGGTAAATTAGTGCCATTAGCAACCGTAACAGATAATGGTCCAGAATAAATGGATTTATTTTCCAAAATACCTTCATTCGAAGTCATATGAGCGGAAGCACCGGAGTCAGGATACCAGACAGTCGGAGTAGATTCACCCGTAGAAACAGCCAGGGCGGGAGCTTGAGGTTGAACAAAACGAGAAGGACAAGCAATTGCGGAATGACCTGGAGAGTGACAGATTTGACAGACGACAGGAGGAGGAACTGAACCAAAATTATTCTCAAATGATGGAAATCCTGCAGAGGCATAGTTAGTACAAAAAGTAGATAGAGCAGGAGTATTAAACGGTGACACAACCGAATTACAATAAACTGTACCAGGTGTACCCAAGTTAGCCTGCTGCTGATGAGTGCCGCGACCAGGCTGCTGCTGTTGTGAAGGCTGACCGAAGTGCACCGGAGGTTGACCGAACCCAGGTACCTGCTGCGGATGATAGCGGCCTCGACCTCCATAGCCTCGGCCACCCCTGCCTCGGTTACCGCGTCTGCCACCACGACCGCCACCACGATTGGGTTGCTGTTGTCCGCCAGTCGAGGAAGCACCCCCTGCCGATGATGCCGCCTGACCACCTCCTGCCGAAGAAGAAGCTGCAAAAGCAGGAGCTCCAACCGTGGACTCCAAGGATTGCTGATAATGAAGACGCGCCTCTTGATGAACTAATTTTGTGCATAATGAATCAAAGGTGAGACCTTCAGGGAAAAGAGTAAGAGGTCCCACCAAGGACTCATATCCCGAGCCCAAACCAAAAAGAGTATGTTGTAAGAGGTCAGAATCTGAAACCGGGGAATTGATGGAGGCTAAGAAGTCAGCAATATTCCTAATTCCGCGAACATAGTCTTCCATAGACTGATTAGGCTTCTTCCGGGTATGGGTCAACATCTGTTTTAATTCCATTGATCGGGCAAGACTGGCAGCCATAAAGCGGGACTCCAGTCGTTGCCAGATGGCGGTGGAATTTTTCAATTGGTGAACTTCCATTAAAATTTCACGAGAAAGCGTAGCAAATAACCAAGCCCGAACAGTTTGATCCAATTTTAGCCAATGATAATATTCAGGATTAATGGTTTGAGCCTGATATAAATCATAAGTATACAAAGAAGGTGCCGGAAGAGTGCCATCAAGAATTCCCAAAAGACCATTAGCAACCAAAAAGGACTCGAATTGAGTTCGCCAAGGCAGGTAATCTTCAACAGCCAATAATTTGGTGGTCACAATTTGCGTAATAGATGCACCAAAAATCATACCTTGGGTTAAAGAAGCAAACGAAGCCGGTATGGGAGTCTCCACCGGACGTCGTCCGATTGATCCAGTCAACGGCGGGAGGACCAACCCTGGATTTCCGGACAAAGTCGGGCCAGCAAAACGCGCTCGGGCAGCAGCCGTGATGCTCGACTCTGCGTGAGAGTCAGCAGAAAAGAAGGGCGGCGGCTGAACTGTCGGCGGCGTAGGCGTCCAAGTGAAGATCGGTGGAACCCATGAGGAAGTTAGCGGCGAGCCTGACACGTCGAGGGGAGCGGTCATCTCTAGCGGCGCTGTGAGGGATGATGGCGGAGTGGTTGCGCTCAAGACCGGAGTGTCATCCGCTGAAGAAGATGTCAGGGCGGTTGTTGAAGAAGACACGGCGGCGGCGGCTGAACCAGTCAAGGAGGCCATCGAAAAAAATTTTTAATACTGCCTAAAACCTAGGGCTCTTGATACCATGTGAGAATAATGGAAAGGCGTACCCAATAGGTAGCCCTAGGTGCCATATATATAATAAATAATGTTCTGAATACAATAGGAAACTTAATGTTTAAGGAAACCTAATTAAAGTATTAATTGCTCTATTAAAAAGGTGCTGCCAAACTGTTGCTATATTAATCAAAGGTGTTTTGTCAAAACAATGAAACAATAGGAGCATATGAGGACAAATATGCATTTCATCGTTAGGATCACAGAAAAGGAAAAGTTAATTACAATTACAAATCCAATCAACAACTATTGCATATTTAATATGCTATTTGAATTCACTCCCCTTGAATGCAGAAGTGGCCAATCATAGTGGAATTCTTGAATGCAGCTTCCAGTATCATCCTCAGCTCTTGTTCTTATTATTGCAACTGCTCTTGAAGCATTGTCACCTAAGTCGCAAAAAAACTTTTATGAGAAAATATCCAAGTATATTCAATAATATAATGAACATCTTATAATCTCACTTCCTTTGGCATGGGGCACTACTTTAGAAAAAGAATTCAAAAGATGGGGTGTGGATTCAAGCAACGTGTAAAGTGGAGACCCTCCACATTGGGTAACAAATTGAATCAAATTTGACAAAACATTATTTGATACGGTGTAGAGCTTATACCAAAAACAGTGATTCTATGATGCACTCAGAATCACACTCATTATTCACATTCACATTTTCAAATTGCTGCCAAGCTCAACTCAAGAGACATATGCTCATTTTTAGAAACAGAGTACTTAAATAAATATCCATACTCTTTAGAACATGTTCACAAAAAAAAACTTCTATGCTCTATATCAATCTGATTTTTTATATAAAAGAGTTTCAACGTGGCTTCAAATTAAAAGTAAATAAGACACAAATGTTACACCAAATCTAACGCAAAAATGAGAAAAGTGTTCCAAACTTGCAAACATTAGAAACAAAGCATAAATTTGAACTCAGCAAGTAGAGTCGCAAAGAGGAAACAGTTGTGTGTACAATAGGCAAATGTTGATAATTATATGATCTAAAACAAAGGTGGAGAAAGAAAATGTGACAGTGTGAGGAACACACAATTAATTAGATTGTACTAATCTCATATAATTATACCTTTGGAGTGCCAGTTGAGTTCGGTATTATGTTTTTCCCAGCTCCATGCCCTCCCCTCCAAACCTTCATTTAAGCTTCATCAACTATCTTTTGTTTGGCTGAAAATCAAGATCAACACATTTGAACCGAATAAAGTAAAACCAAGAACCCGAAAATTTTTGAACTAATAAGAAATTCAAACTAAACATAACTTGGTTCTAATTTAGTATTGACCCCCACCCAAACCGTTCAAACTAAACTTAACAAAAAAATGCACTGAACCTAAAATGCATACTTGTAACTACCAAGAGCATAGGTTGAGGGACTAACCCTGGCCAAACTTACTTTTTTCATGTGTAAAATTGATTTGAATGATTCTTTCGTCAGATCAAAGAAAAATTCAAACTATAGATATTTTTCTAATTTGTTAGGAAAATAAAATATAGACAAAAGTAGCGAAGAAAGGCAGGAAAATGAATCTTTTTAGAGATGTGTTCAGATTTGATCAAGGCTCCAATTTTTTTTTATAAAAAGAATTAAAATAAATCAGCTCATTAGCCTACAAAAATCAGTTTAATAACTTGCTCACCAAAATCTCAATTTATAAAAAAACAAATCAGTTCATCATTTCATTTTCTTAGTCAAAAACTATATTTTATTTTATTAACTTGCTTTTTTTAACTGACTCTTTGTTAGGCGGCAGAATAATCAAGAACATGATTTTTTTTAAATCAAGAACATGAATGTATACGAAAGCTGCCTTTTTTTAAAACTGAATCTTTATACACCCATTCTTTTTACTGAAAATCAACACTGTGAAAGACTTACAGGATAGAATTAGACTGACCTCGTTGATGTTAGCAATTTGAAAAAGAAAAAATCATTTAGAGTGTTCTAACAAAACCTATGTAACGATCCAGAGAAAGGGATAAAGACGACTTCATCTCAAAAGATTTTCTTAGTCAAAAACTATATTTTATTTTTTTAACTTGCTTTTTTTAACTGACTCTTTGTTAGGCGGCAGAATAATCAAGAACATGATTTTTTTTTAAATCAAGAACATGAATGTATACGAAAGCTGCCTTTTTTAAAAACTGAATCTTTATACTACCTATTTTACAGGTATATTTCAAATTCAGGCCATTTTTAGAACCTTGGATGGAAAGTTCTTTCTGATAACTACCCTTTCTCAATAACTTCCATAACCTCTCATAGGGTATCATTGGATCCCCTGTAATGTTAGAAGAGTAAAATATAAAGAAAAGTAGTGAAGAAAAACTTAGAAAGACCCAAACTAAACATATCTATTTTAAATATTTGTTCAATTTTATAGAGTTCGTAATTAACTTAACATGATCCAAAGCCACAGATCCATAAAAAATGTTTTTTTCAAACATCAAAACCAAATATGCATAAAAAATTAACATGATATAATTGATATTGAGAATTCAAGCCATACTATTCACCATGTTTGTTATATCGTTTTCCTTAAACAAATGAATAAGCACTTTTATTTATTCACCATTTGTTATATTGTTTTCCTTGAAAAAAAAAGAATAAGCACTTTTAGAGCTATCTTCTCACTTGTGCATCAATTTATTAATCTATGCAGTCCCGGATCAATAAATATGTACTTCGTATTGAATTCGAAAACCCTAGAAATTTAGGCATCATAGAAAGACATTTTTCATTGAGGAATTATAACAAACACCTTGCAATCAAAACATTTACACCCATTCTTTTTACTGAAAATCAACACTGTGAAAGATTTACAGGATAGAATTAGACTGACCTCGTTGATGTTAGCAATTTGAAAAAGAAAAAATCATTTAGAGTGTTCTAACAAAACCTATGTAAGAAAGGGATAAAGACGACTTCATCTCAAAAGATTGCAGTATAAGAAGTTTGAAATTGAAAAACAGATAGAGTGAATTTCATGGCAGGTCTGAATAGCACTTTGGCATTGGTCATTTTCACTGATACAAAAAGTTATGATGGAGAAGGCTAAGTGATAGAAAAGAAAAGAAGCAGAGGGGTTATCGAAGGTGGGCAATTGCAAAAAACAGTTGAAAATTGAGAAAATAAAATCTATTTACCCGATTCATGAAAGACATATAGACAACACGATAGGTGGACTAAGATGATTCTAAAGGAAGACCGAAGAAGAAAGAATCTGAAATCAGTTGGAATGGAAGCCGCGGTCCAGGTGCGAAGGGGAAAATGATTGAGAATGGAAAAATTGGATGGAAATGAAGGAAACTCACGGACCGTTGATTTGTTAGCGTAAATCGGATGGATGTCAAGTGAGAATGGTTTGAGCGGGAATTTAGTTTTTAGTGTTGTAGTGCTATTAAGTAGTGGATTAGTCGTTTTTATGATGTTTAATCTTCAATTTCAAAGAAAATTATAGTAAAAAAATAATGTATAGGGCCTTTTATTAAGTTCGACTCAGGCCCGGGTTTTGGTAGGATCGGCACTGTCTACTTTGCGCCAAATTTGTCTCATTCTGCAGTTGATGGAGTATATTCTCATATACCCCAGAGGTATCATAAATCGCCGGTAGAAAGCATTGCAGGCCCATCAAAGACACAAAAACACTAAGTCCACAATCCAAGACTGACCCCGACCGCCGAGGTCGGGAAAACACCAAGCTCAGGAACCAACCAGACTCAGTGGATGACGAAGTCGACCGGCCCCGACCCCGACCCCAAGGTCGGGAAGACATCAGGCTCAGGAATCAACCGAACTCGGAAAGTTATGAGCCCGACCTCGATGCACCCAAGGTCGGTACCAGATCTGACCCCGGAAGTCAAACATTTGGTCAACGGTAATCAAGCACCAGGCAGTCAACTACCTCTAAGGCAGGAACA